ATACTTTCATATTCTAACTTTCAGAAATATAGTCCATGATGTAAAAGTTGTGGACTGGTGTTTAGCAACTACACCACACGTATCTTGGTAACAGGTTGACAAGTGTGATTGGTCTGCCCCTCAACCTATTAAAAAGCATGTATGTGTAGAACATAATGATGCTTCCACCCGTCCACATGTAACCTAAGTGAGGGGCTAAAGTGTCCTTTGTCATCAGATACTCTTTAAAAATAAAACAAGCTGTCGATGTACTGGGACGCTTGAATGAAAGTGGATATTTCAGAGGCATTTCTTAGAGTCTCAGATGAGTAGATGAATATAGTTCATCTGTAGCATAGCAAAGCCATCAAACAATCACATCAACATGCTGTGTTGCATCCATCGAAATGTGAGGGAAAACTCYGAACCTGAGTCTGTTTCCTGGTTTTTCAGAATAAAATGAACCCTGTAACGTCACAAGCTTTAATTCGTGACAGAGCATGTGGTGCATCGCTGCTGAACTCACTGTTAAATTCCTATCATGAGTCATGCTCTGTAAAACCTGCTGGCCTTCAGTCTTCGACAATGACCTTGGTTTTTATTACTTTTTCATTCTGCTTTCGCTGAAATGAGGTCAGCCTGAGCGAAGGACCGTGAAATCCTTTCCGCTAATTGACGGGCTTACAGAATATTCATCGTCGCAGCCGCATTTGAAAGCTGATCCCCGACGAGCGAAGAGGTGGCGAGCCAGGAATGTTTGCAGAGTCAGGTAGACCAGGATCTAGCTGGTCGCTGTTAGTGCGGCGGTTTGTGATAGTACATTTGTTGAGGTGTTGTGGTATGGCTGTACGAGCTTGTGTGAAACAGACATAGCCATACTCAGAAAGCCAGTTCCACTCTTCTCGTCTTACCCTAGCCCCGCTTGAATGTCTGTACGTGATGAGGCTGTCTGCTGCCAAATCAGGCCGGTGCAGCAAAACACCCTCGCAGAAGGTGAAGTACCGTTATGGGTTCAGGATGCTGTTGAAGGAGTATGGATCTGATACGTTCATAAGTGGTATTTATTAACAGATGGTGTCGATCTCCTGCTTCACATCACACAACAAAAGTGGAACGTGACTCACTTGGCAGGTCATATGGCTAAACACTGATACAAACTCTTCAATGTTGATCTCCAATAAATCATCTATATACTTTGTACATTATGTGCCACTCTCAAACTATCTGATAATCGGCATGGATTATATGGAGATTCAATAGTAATACAACAGAACAAGACATTCCTAGAGAGTGAATTTAGACACATCTGACATTAAAGGGATCCCCGATTAGTTGTAATATTAGACTTTATTTAATAAACATATATTTTAACTGTAAAATAAAGACTGTAAAAATAC